AATAGTATTTGAGATATTTCTTTACTTGTTTATGATTAAATTTATAAGGTTTTCATATAATATCTTCAAATTGTACTCTCTACATATTATATTTATATAATTATTGGTATAAGTATTTTTATAAAAACATAGGGATTTTAATATTTCTAAAGCGAGAGCACAGGAATATTTAGAATTTCAGATTTCCCTAAGCTTTATTAATTTTACTATTGTTTTTGCAAAATTTTCTTAAGGATTTGTAAAAAATACAAGGGCAAATTTATTCTCTCAATTTCTTATGAACCTCTATTAACTATTCTTACATCAACATCTCCATGAGTAGGTCTACCTTATGATCATTTTGTAGATCGTATAAATCAGCCTCTTATAAATATCTCTCAATTTACACAATAATATATATGGAATCCAGGTTTAATAATATATGATGAATTTTTGCTTTGCCCTTCTTCTATGATTTATAAGATCCTTACAGGTAATACCCCATCCTTATCACAATGAATCACCAGTCTGCCCTTTCTAAGCTTTGACAATATTTATATTTACTTTATAAATTTGAACGATAATTATATCATTCTAACACGATCTTAATCATCTTTATTAAATCTTTTCTTTCCATTCAATCAGTAGTATCTACTATGAATGGATGCCCTAACTCTGGCCTTTACTGTGATTCTTTCTGCCATTCTTATTTTTCTTAATTCTCTAGCCCCTAATTCTTATATGTTGAGTTATATCTGTACCTCTGCCTATTTTCATTTGCTCATGCACTATTTTTATCCTTTCCTATACACATATTTATCTTTTCCTATACACTTCTTTATCTGGTCAAATAAAAATATTAATAAATTAGCCTGCCTCTATTGCTTTGTGTAGCTAGAAAACTGGATTACAGACATATTTTTGTGAGGGTAAATTCGGCTTTTTCTGCTTTTTATGAGTCTTCTTTACAGATTTTTTTTGGCATAATATTATTTTTTGATGTTGTTTTTAAAATAAAGAAAAATATGAATAAAACAAATTTAACACAAATTTTTTCGCAATGGTGTGTTTATTTCAAATGATCACTATTAAATTCAATATTTAGATTACTTTGTGCCATTTACTTCTCTCACATATGAATTTGTTGTCTAGAATAAATAAGAATATTTAGATTTATAAACTTTAGAGATTCTCAACATGGCTATTGTTAGAATTTCCTCCATTACATATGGGCCTGTATTAATATTCCTATTAGATATGGTATCCTATATTCTAAAATTTTATCCTAGTTCAATTAAAGCAGGGTTATTTGTATCTGGAAATTTAGGAAATTAAGTTTTGATAAAATGACCCATTATGAAAAGATTCAAAAGTACATATCAAAATTTAGAACCGAATTCATTATTTTTAAAATTCTTAGATTTATTAAAGATCTTAGTCCAAAATTAGTTTGAAAGCCTTTAGCCTATTCGATTAAATTACTTCTTGTTTAACATTTAAATCACTTCTGGTATGTACTTAATTTCACTTTTGTTTGTAAATTTTAAAGTAATAACTTAAAAATAAACATATTTAAGAATATAGGATAGTTTTTTTTTTAATTATTTGTAAATATTTACAGATATTCAATTTTAGACTAATCAATACTGTTTCTTCACATTTTCTTAGTACAAAATTTAATTTAAAATATTTCTCTCTCTCCTTAAATTATATTAATAATGTATTTAAAATCTTTGTTTTGCCACTTAAACCACTTTTAAGGGATATTGATTGAGAGTGTATCTTTTTATATATTGCTGTGTTTGGATAATTTGAGATGTATTTTTTGAGTAAGACACAATTGATTATAGTAAAAAATTTTCAAATTGTTAAAATAAAAGAGAGAAAACTTCCTTCGAATTTCCCATTTTCAATAGGGTTTGGTTAATATTAGGTCATTTTAAATGTTTAAAAAAACCTTTGAAATTAGAGAAGACTTTGGTCAGTCTTTTTGGTTTATTATTTAAAATTAAGAATGAAATATTAATAATTAAAATTGCCATTTTAAACAACAAATAGATTAAATTTTAATTTCAGTTAATAGATATAACTCAATTAATTTTAATAAGAATAAATAATAATATTTATTGATTAATATAATTTAGAATTAAATATATAATCAAAGGAATCTAGCTTGGCTATTCTCTAATTTTTATCAGGTAGCGATAATACATTATCTAGTTTCTAATTTTTTTTAATGAATCATATTGATATTTATCATAATTTTTTCGAGTTGTAAAATTTTATCTTCACTCTATTAACACATTTTTTCAGCTAGGTAATATAACTATTAATTTGCTGGTTAGTTTGCATATCATCTATTTGTATACTATCCTACTAATATATATTACTATTCAATTAATGTTTGTTAATCATAATTGGCATAATTGCATCAAAAAAATTTATCATGTATTTATACCTA